TAGTTTTTGCAGTTGTAACCATTCCCTGTATTAAATTTCCAGATACTATATACAGGCTACGCTGATTTTGATGCGGAGACAGGCTATTTTCACATTAAGTGAAAGACAATGTTACTGAATTATTCCGTAGATGTGCTTTAACATGTAAACTGGGAATATCAACAAAAGGGCAGAGAACCTGAACACAAATCTCTTTCTCTGGTTGATATGATAGCCATTCAAATAGAAGGGAGGATAAATACAGACTGCGTAAAGGTTTGACTATCACGGATCTCATTCAAAGGGTTTGTGATTTTTTTAAAGTCAATGGAACATGAATAGTTTGGGAAATCTATATTGGGGATAGATGGATCCATATCTTGCCAATCATGGTAGTTGCACATGTATTAACTGATAACTTTGAATGATGACTCTTAAACTAGCAAATTCTTTTATACAAATTCATACAAAAATACATTTTTGAGCTGAGAACTGCACTGAATATTTTGCAAAAACAAAACCTCCTAAATAAAACTCACATTTCACTTATGTTAATTCAGAAAATGCCTAAAATATGAGCAAAGGAAAACCTTGAACATTCCTGTCTCAACCTAAACATAGGCGCATGAGAACTCACATGGGTAGGAGGACCTTTTAGTCACTCTGCAACCTATACAGTTTGGGCTGTTTTTTACTCGGAAATACAAAAATTGCATTTTAAAGATGTGTAGCGCGCAACTTAGTTTGTTGCCTTATTTCAGGGGTTTCAAATTCACATTGTCACATTGTTGTCATCTGATGTATCGCGACTCCCCCCCGCCTTTGCTAAACCGGGCATGGGTGTGGCCAGTGCATGATACATCCGGCCCATGGGCCGCAAGTTTGACACCTCGGCCTTATTTGCTGCTGCTGCTTTATTGTTAAATGCTTCTGTTTTCTTTTTTGAGATAGTTCAGCCAATCAGGCATTACATAACAGACTAACAGAGTTGGAAGGAACCTTAGAGGTCTTCTATTCCATCCCCCTGCTCAAGCAGGAGACCCTATGCCATTTCAGACAAATGGCTGTCCAATCTCTACTTAAAATATCTCCAGTGATGGAGCATCCTCAACCTCTCGAGGCAAGCCGTTCCACTGGTTAATTATATAATAAATATAATAAATACATAATGAATGCAATGTCACAGAGCCAACCAAGTTTGGGCTATTGATGTCGTCAATGAATATAAGGAAAGTTGCACTGCCATTTGACTCTGAAGTTCTAGTGCTCTAGATGTATCACAAGGGACACTAAATTGCACATTCTGACTTGTACGATTGTCAGTACTCCCTGTTCTGAAGTGTATTGCTCTGTTACATTGGGTTCACAGCAGCTGCACAACAGCACATCTGTTGCATAATAGCACATCAGGATAAACATGTGAATAGAAATGCCATTTAGTAAGCTGAGTTCAATGTAGAGATATTTTAGACTGTGATTGTTCAAAAGTTATACC